TGCATGTGCCTAACCAAACTATGTAAGATTTAAGAGAAATTAGCTCTGTAAGAGTCCATGTTTAAGCAAAAATCTGAGCTCATGGAGAAAAGTATCAATTTAGGAGGACAAGAGGAACTTTAATGGGCAATGAGAGAGTCCCAGCAGGCTAGCAGCAACAGAGTGGAAAAGAATGAGGAGCCTCGGGCAGAGAAAATTGAAGTAATTCAGGCATAAAATGAGTGGGTCTCAAGTCAGCTTTTTATTCCACTCCGCGTGCAGGGGAAATACATACAGAAACACAGGCAGAAGCGATCTGGGGAGAAAAAAGACAGCTTTGACAAACCCGGCCCAGCTGGGGTGTGGAAGTTTTTGATAATGACATTGAGCAAAGCCAGGCGAGATCAGCTAGAGATGGAATGAAAAGCCCAAGGCGGTAAAAGCCTGTGCGTCTCCTCCCATGAAACAACCCCGCTCTCTTTGGGGATGGGTTTGGCTGAGAGAGACGAGGGCTGGAGATTCGCACAAACACTCAGCAAACCTACCATCATCTTCATCTCCACTTGGGTCCTGCCATCGCTACCCTCTCGTGTAATAAGAGAGCTGCACCGCGCCAGGCTGGACGCTGATCTCAGCCAGGGTCCTGCCTCCAGCAGAGACCAGCCGTGGATCCTTAGAGACAGACCAGCAAACCTCTTGTGGTATCTCCAGCACCTCCTTCCTTGTCCCAGCAATGAAGGGTTCAGCAACTTCATGGGTAATGGATTTGAAGCTGCAAGAGGGGAGATTGAGCTGAGATATTGGGAAGAAATGTTTTCCTGTGTGGGGGGTGAGGCAGTGGCCCAGGGTGCCCAGAGAAGCTGTGGATGCCCCATCCCTGGAGGGGTTCAAGGCCAGGCTGGATGAGGCTTTGGGCAACCTGGGCTAGTGGGAGGTGTCCCTGCCCATGGCAGGGGGTGGCACTGGATGATCTTCATGGTCCCTTCCAACCCAAACCATTCTATAATTCTAACTTGCTGAGCCAGAAGTGCTCCTGCAGTGTTTAATAACCTCCAACAGGTGCTTTTCATCTAACCTATTGATGTTTTTCCCACTCTGCCATTCTGAGGCAATGAGTTCCATAATTTAATTACATTTCAGGTAAAAAACCATCTCCTTTCACTCATTTTGAACCTGCCATTTGCTGAGGTCGTTAGGCACTGGCTAATCCTTGCGTTCAGAAGGAGAATGAGTGATTATCCCTGTTCACGCTCTCCGGGACAGTTATGGATTTGTAGACCTCTGCCGTATTCTCCTCTTGGAAATAAAAAGCCAATCCAGCCCATGAGTCCTCCTCCAACAGTAGACATAAGGAGCTGCCTTGGGAAGAATATTAGAACAAGGACAGACTGGATCACATGCCTTCCCACCCTCCACTACTTTCAAAGCATCCAACCACATTTAGTTCAGGAATTTCCCTTTTTAGACATGGTTTCTGTGCAAGCCTCACTGTAACCCCCTGCTTTTCCACAGACAAATGACAAATCTTGCACCTTGGACCAGATAACTCCATGTAACATCCCAGGCTGGGCACCTGGCAGAGCAGGACCTGGTGCCCAGGGCACTGCTGAGACTGGCAAGGAGAAGG